TATTATAACGAAAAAATTCTTGGGTAAACTTATGACAGGGTATAGTTAATAAGATGTAAACTATGAGTGAAGAATTATTTATTATCTATTATATTAGATTTGGGCCATGAACCAATCATCAAGTGTATGTGATGTTGTAGGAAGAAGAAAGAAGAAGAAATTACTGGGTTAACTGTTGTGAAGCAACTGAAGAATAAAAGAAGAAAATGACGCATGTGGATATCAGACCATCTAACCTAATCTTTACACGTGCTCGTTGGTTTCTTATGGGAAAAAAATATAAAAAATATAAAAATTACTTACTGAAATGTACCCCTTGCAAGAAGATATGTGAATATAAATAAAGGGGGGAGGTTAAAAAGGAAGTTAGAACGATAAATTTAGATTAATGTTGAGAAAACAGGAGGAGTTTCTGACAATATCTGGGCATTTAAGCAACCAACAGGATTTAATTTTAAATGTCTCAATATCTCGAGGTTTTCGAAGCTATTAAGAGTAAATCTATTGTAGGAACTGAAGGTTTCGAAATCCTTCATAGTTCCTAAGTGATTTGTCATTTTATACCTCTGAAAGTTTTTTCATATTATGGTCTAATGTCCAGTTACCAGAAGCAGGAACTCATAAAAAAATTATTTTTACTTTAAAGTAACTTCAAAAAAAAATACTTTTCCTGTTGTACTCTAATAGAAACTAACTTACCGATTACACAACAACAAAATTTTCTTAATCCATCGAACATATCTTAAACCATGACTAAGAATTCACAACCTCAATTCAGTGGTGACCAAACTACTATATACTATCTAAATGTTAATGAACTACGAACGAAATCAGCTGATATTTTAAATAGTATATATTAGACTGGGCCAAAAAAATAAAACATTTTTTTTCTTAGCGGAACTATGAAATTATTGTTCATGACGACTAAAAAAAAATTTAATAATAATATTAAGAGGTGCATCATTGCAGTTATTGATTTTTCAACAGTTGTCGCGTTTTTGCATAAATTTCGGACTTGGTCAATTTTAAAAAAAAATGTCATCTCTTATCCTTGTAGGAAATTAAATTTTCCACAAAAAAGCTCTCTTAGTAAATTTTCGTAAGACGAGTCTATTCTTTGTAATCTTAATATTTAAGTTCATTTTGGAAATCCCAAACACAAACAGATGAAGAAGAAGTTGAAGAAAAAACAGATGCACTACCGAAATCTTTTAAAAGAGGTCCAGGACGTCCAGCTATTATAAGAGATGGATCAAAAGGAAGACCTAAAAAGAAATACAACATCGTAGAAGTAGTTGAAGAAACTCAGCTAGTCACTTCCGATCCAGATAACCCCACTGTGAAAGAAGCACTAGAAGGAGAACACGCAGAAGACTGAAAGCGTGCAATTCACGATGAATTCTATTCACTAGTTTCATGTAATGCGTGAATCCTAGTAGAGAGACCAGAGAGTAGGAAGATAGTAGGATGCAGGTGGGTTTTAAGAACAATATATATAGCTAATGGTGAAGTAGAAAGAAGAAAAGCACGACTTGTTGCCAAAGGGTACACTCAACAACCTGGGGTAGACTACCACGAGACAACATCACCAGTTACTCGACAAAGTTCCATTCGCTTGTTACTTGCCTTATCCGTTGAATTAGGCCTAGTTTTGTACCAAATGGATGTCGTTATGGCCTATATTAATGGAGATCTCGAAGACGAGATTTATATGGAACAAGCTTATCGTGCAGAAAGAAGAAGACAAGGTATCTCTTAAAAAGATCACTTTACGGACTGAAACAGTCAGGAAGACAGTGGTACAAGAAATTAGACCAGTACCTTCAGTCTATTGGTCTTAAACCAATAAACGCTGACAAATGTGTCTATATCTCCAAAGAATCTTCCACATTTCTTATTCTTGCCGTCTATGTCGACGATTTAGTTGTAGCGACAAAAACAGAAGAAACTTACCATAAATTAAAACAAAATCTAACATCTTAATTTAAAATAAAACACTTGGGTTTACTACATTATTGTTTGGGAATTGAATTCAAATAATCTTCTAATTGGATATCAATGTCCCAAAAGAAGTATATTTCAGATATTTTAACAAAATTCAACATGCAAAACTGCAGGCCATCTGATACTCCTATGGATGCAAATTTGAAATTGACCAAGGACATGTGTCCTACAAACGAATCCGAGACAGCAGAAATGGCAAATATCCCTTACCGTCAAGCAGTTGGTTCGCTGATGTATTTAGCCGTTTCTACACGACCTGATTTATCCTATACCGTGAGTGCCCTAAGCCAGTTTAATTGCAACCCAGGTCCAGTTCATTGGGTAGCCGTAAAACGTGTCTTAAGATATTTAAGAAAAACTGAACATTTTGGACTTATTTTCAAAAGCACACACACATCACTGCATGGCTATGTAGATGCCGACTGGGGATCCAAACGAAAGAAGATCGTACACAGGTTTTGTGTACTTTTTAGGTGGAGCTGCTGTTACATGGGAAGCTCGAAAACAAAAATCAGTAGCACTATCCAGTACGGAATCGGAGTATATGGCGCTATCTGAGGCAGCAAAGAGGTAGTATTCTTAAGAAATTTTTTGAAAGAAGTTGATTTTTCAAAATATTTAGATCGTCCGTCAATCGTCTATTGTGACAATCAGGGAGCCAGAAAATTAACACAAAACTAAGTCCACCATTCACGAACCAAACATATCGACATCCAACACCATTATGTACGAGAAGTATAAGACAAGAAAGAAATCGAAATTGAATATATTCCGGCACAGAGTATGGTGGCTGACATTTTCACAAAGCCCCTTTACAAGCCAAGCTTTCAAACTCACGTCGGATCACTAGGAGTTAGGCTTTTAGATACCTCTCATTAAGAGGGGGTGTTAGAGTTCATGAGAGTTATCATCTTAACTACTTACCTTTATGCATTTACTAGTTTACTAGAATATTGAAGTTGTCAATTCAATTTTTATATCTTAAATAGTGTCAAATAAACTGTGTTACGGAAGTTCCTAGTCTTTCTTCTGCGTATACCCAACAAATAGTTTTGCGTTTTCTCATATGTATGTTTTTGTTTGGGTCAGATTTTACATAATAGCTATGTATGTATTAAGAGCAGAAAGTGACACTTTGGCATTCGAGACAGAAAGTTGCTGATCGACGCGTTAGCAAAGCGCGGCAATCTGTCGAGACTGCCAAAGGATTTTATGTCCAAATTACAAATAAGATTTGTTATACGATCACACCAAATTAAAATAAATTATTTTATTTTATTACAAATGCGTTACCTTCTTTCGTTATAATATTGAAAGTTTATTTGACATAAGCCTACTCTTCGAAGAGAAAAAAATATTTTGGTACTTATATGTTAGTAATTATTGATGATTTAATTATTCAATTATTTACAGAAAAATACTGTTGTATGATTTAAAATATTAAGTAGTTAATTGAAATATTTATTAAGCAATAGTTTGTGTTAAAATAACTACTAGCTCCATTTTATCTATAAATAAAATTGGGCGGGCACCAAAGTTACTTTCCGCTTAAGAGTGCCAATAATGTCAAATTATGACACCTTGCAGAAAACATCAACTTTGTAGTTACTTTCCAAGGCGCAAAATCCTAAATTTCGATAGTGATCGTAGAAAAATAATATGTTACCATTAAAACCAAAACAGTTTAATTGTAATAAGCATAATAGTATGAGAGCCCACTGCAAATTTCGACCGTCATCTGATAACGAAATGAAATATGCTCCAAAAGCATGTAACAACATTGTACTTTACCAAATTGCACCTGTGCTAAACCCTATCCTGAGCAAAGTGATTAAAAAAAATTATTTTATATTCAAAAAATCACATAAGACATGACAGCCACAATTGTGTTTTCCCTGAAAATTACAATCCTAATTCATTGTTAACCTAGTTTTTAAACCTGAATTATTAATATTTTTACCTACCTTTTAAACCATATTTATTTATGAAAGGAAGAAGAATGGCCATTGTATAAACCATTTGCACAAATAGTCAATAATAATTATAAACACTTGTTAGACAATTATTTTAAACCATAATCATAGTAGTTTGTCGTTTCTATGGCAACCTGTAAAAATGCATCACAACAATAGGCATACAAATAAATTTTTAAATCAGAAAACATTGATTCATATTTTTAATGATTTTTACCTACTAATCGTGGATAGATGTTTTTGTGCGATGTTAAGAGGAAGAAAATGTTTCCCTTTAACGATATATATCAAGATATATTTGAATGTAATTTTCTGGGAAACTTTAAGGGCAAATAAAATTAGCGCTGTCATGCCTTATGTGATTTTTTTAATATAAAATAATTTTTTTAGGCTACTTTGCTCAGGATCGGGATTGGCACAGGTGCCATTTGGTAAAATACAATGTTTTTCCATGTTTTTGCGGTGTATTTTATTTCGTTATCAGGTGACGGTAAACATTTTCAGTGGGCTCTTGGGCTATAAGTACCTGCCGTTGTTTTTACATACTACCAGCCTATTTAGATAATATTATATTATTATTTAATATTGTTTTTAAAATGTTCGAATATATTTTTCAATAAAATGAGTTTGTAAAAATATGTTTTTAAGTAGTTAGGGGAGCGGCGCCAAATTTCTCGTTTGCCTGAACTAAATTTTTTTCTACCAACGCCGCTAATGTTCTTCTATCAACATTCATCAATTAACGAAAGCTCTTTGGGATAGAGCGTTGTCGGTCGAATATACTAACAACCTGTAGTATTGAATTGATTAATAAAAAACCTTAAATAAGAATTTCATTTTTTATCGATTTTGAATACTTTTTTCATTGAATCTGCGCATGTAAAAATCGGCTGTAAGCAGAATTATTACAAAATTCAACAATTTCCAGAACTTCCTTTATTCAATTTATGTAATGAACATTTCCTACATATTTGTAAATTATAGCACCTTTTTACTTGCTAAATTTTTAATTTATTTTTACAGGAGTACATCGGCAACACAGCAAAGAATCTTAAAGCCCTAGTCACGAAGAGTTCGTTCAAAGAGAGATTTAAGACAGCACAGAAATTTCTTAAAAAATTGAAATTTCTCACGGAAGATGTGAGTATTAAATGTTAAGAAATTAAGAGATTATAGAGATGAAGAATGAATCTATAATATACCGGGTGACCGCGCGAAACGTTTGATCGAATCGATACCTATATTAATGGTGATTTTAAAGCAAATTCAGATGTGGATTTCTGAGGACGCGGTACAATCTGTTCACAATTTTGAACAGTTCAGAATTTTTGTTGGAACAATTAAATCATACTACACATGCCTACATAAATTTAGAACGGTGCTACTGTTGGAACAAACCTAATATCGAAAGTAAAAATAAGTTTTGGCAATAGTTATTTAATTATATGAAATTTTATGTGAAATTTTCTTATCAAATACAGAAAATGTAACCTCTATTACATCTAACAATCAATAAAAATAGGTGTAGTACGAGCAAGAGATATAGTGTGGCTTTAAAGCCAGCCGGCAACATACAAAAAAAACTAAGGAGACTGATAAATCACCTTTAAATTAGTAGAGCAGCATTCAAGAGATTGAATATACTTATTTTATTTTTATTTCCCTCGATAAAAGGAAAGTATTGTAATCGTGAACATTTAGATTTTTACGTTTTCGGGTCCCTAGATTACGAAAAACATGTTTTCCTCATTCCGTCGGTCTGTCCGACGTCTGTTGTCTGCCGTCGATCTGTTGGCGCAATAGCTCAAAAACGGTTTGAGAGAAAAACTTCAAATTTTGTATGCAGGTAAGGCTTCCTCTTGGCTCAAAACCGGTTATACTTCCGATAAGATATATACAGGGTGAGCAATTAGTCAGCAGATTTCGACTAAAATTGGTTTCTGATCAAAATTTTATTTGATCAAAGATAACAGATCATGAATTACTTTTTAAAAATTCAAAATTACTTCCCTGTTTTTACAATTGGTATGTTAATATTGTAGGGTGTGATTCCTCAGGTCATTTTATGAAGAAAAAACTCATATGAACATATGTCCGCAACGACTTCAATTTTTTGCTACAGGGAGTTAAAAATTTTATTTTTTAAAGAGATATTTTTTAATATCTCTGAAAATAGTTTAAATATAATTTTCAATTTTGGCATGTGTTATTAGGATATAAAACTATATATTTAAGTTAGAAAATTTATTTTATTGCTCTACCAGTCTCTGCAAGCATGTCATCTAATATTTTCTACAAAAAAGTAGTACGCCACTAACATTTTTCCATGTTGATATTTTTACTCATTTGACTGGTGAATTCTACATCAATACGGCATCTTTTATTTTTCTCGTCAGCAGTTGGGTTCTAGATTAAAATAATTGAAATTAATCGTCAATACAGCAAAATGAAAAAAATTTAATTTAATTGATGAACGATAAGGTAAACGACACTAAAGTACGCAGTTTTAAAAACTATTAAAAATACAAAAATAAGGGGGAAATATCCATGATATTCAACAATACTATCTATAACGTATACTTTTTTACATTGTTTCGTCCGTAAAACTTTAAGAAGTTCTTCTTTCTTATAGCTGTCTTGAAAAAGCAAATTATTGTCCATTAGAAAATTTTGTATATCCACTTTCGTCATCGTATTGAATGTACTCCTGAACAATCTGCGTCTTGACTAACTGGTCGGCAGTTAGAGCATTCTCAATGCAGTGCAGGTAGCTAGAAATACAACCAGCAGGATCGGACTAGGTTTGTGAATAAACTTTTTAGAAAATTAACTTGGTTCATTGTATATTCTTTTTCTGATTTTTAAAATGTAAGATAAAGAAGAGGTGGTGTAAAAAACCGTGCAACTAAGCATACCCGAAGCTAGCCAAATTTTCTTGTATTTACGCCTTATGTTTGGAATTATCTCAAAAGGAAAGTAAGTGTTACACGTATCTAAATATTACGTTGAATATTATAAATCAAAACAAGATGTTGATGTTGCATTTGACAGCATTTTTTTCGAGTTGTTTGAATCCTATTATTGGGTGATATGAATAAACATCTGATATGCCCAATTCATGACATTCCTATCTAGTTATTACAAGCTTTTTTCGGTCATTTTGTACAATCTATATTGCAGCACCTCGATAAATGTTTAGAGGATAAACTAAATATATACATTTTCACATATTTCTAAATCGAAACATTTTTTATATATAGACGGTCATATTTGAACAACGTAATCTACATCCTAAAATAGGAGTAAAAGTTCATATAAACATAGGTCCGAAAACGTTTTGTTTTCGAGATACAGGGTAATACAAGTGAAGTCCTGATGGCACATTTTTGTAAATATTTACTAAAATTTCTTTAGTCACCGGTTTTCCAAAGTTAAAAAAAATAATATTTCTGATTCCACAGGCCTACTAATTATTGTTTACACTTTCGAAATAGATACATCAACTTATCATGAAATTTTCAAATGTTATTCTTATGAAAATGGTGCATCCCAGCGAGATGCAAGAAAAGTAGCTTTATTATAAAGAAAACATTGGTTTTCCAAATTTTATAGTCAAAAATGTTAAAAACTATCAACAAAAAAAACTTAGGGCAATTTTACCCTAAGCCACCCCTAATTTACACACCTATAAAGATGATCAAAAACTGGGGTTTAGTCCATTAAATATAGCATAAAAAGGTAAGCATTTGTACCAAATTTCACTTAGTTATCTTTAGAAAATATTTACAACAGTGTGTCATCAGAACTTCACTTGTAACACCCTGTATCTCAGAAATGAAACGTTTTCGGACATATGAACTTTTACTCCTATTTTAGGATGTAGATTACGCTTCGCTTTTAAAATATGACCGTCTAATTTCGGGACACCCTGTATATTGTTATGAAATTATAAAATTGAACGAAAAATAGAAGTAATTAAGTAAATAATAGTTTGCAATTTTGTTATTATATATTAAGATAATACATAACAAAACAACACCCAATATAGTAAAAAATACATTTGATATAAAATGTGAAAATGAATGTAAATTTGGGAAGGTTATTTTGATTGGTTGTCAAGTAAGACATTAAAAAAAAAAAGAAAGATACGATTAATACGTGTTTAATCAAGTTAAAATACAAAGAATTTCCTTTTGAAAGATAAGATAAGAAGTTCAGCCAAATATCCAAGTAAGACATACAAAATGTGATGTCATAATAGTATAAGGGATTTAATTGGGTTTTCCTTTGGTATCTAGGAAGTATCTAGAAAAAACATAAACAGAAAAACCAGAAATTGTTAATAAATAGTAGAAAAGGCTTAGTAAATAAACAAATTTTCCTGAATAGTCTGTACACATGAGAATAAACATGAAATCTAGACGGCAAGATGCAGTATCAAAATTTCTACGGGAAGTTACAGTACAAATGTGTACGTCGACAGAGGAAACAGAACAGTGGTAAATCCAAATACATACAGAGTGAGTACCTACTCTTTAAGAGAACTGAATTTGTGCGGTCAGTCAATGTATTAGTAAGTTTATGGAATATATCGGTTATTTACGAACTCAATAAGTTTTGTTTTATACATGATTTCTCTAAAATGGATCGTAATGGAAAAATTGGAGGAAAAGTGTAAAATTTTAATTTTTTAGTATTTTCGTTGGCAATGTAAATATATAAAAATGTTTCGAGTTATAAGTATGTGGAAAAAGTATATATTTAGTTTATCTTCTAAACATTTACCGGTGCTGCAATATAGATTGTACAAAATAACTGAAAAAAGGCGTGTAATAACTAGATAGGAAAGCCATATATTGGACATATCAACATCTTGTTTTAATTTATAATATTCAACGTAATATTTAGATACGTGCAACACTTTCTTTCCTTTTGAGATAATTCTAAACATAAGGCGTCAATACAAGAAAATTTGGCTAGCTTCGGGTGTGCTTAGTTGCACGGTTTTTTTCACCAACTCCTTTTTATCTCACATTTTAAAAATCAGAAGAAGAATCTACAACGAACTAAGTTAATTTTATAAAAGTTTATTTACAAACCTAGTTCGCTCCTGCCGGTTGTATTTCCAGCCACCTGCACTAGATTGATAATCGTTTAACCACCGACGAGTTAGTTAAAACACAGATTGTTTAGGAGTACATTCAACACATTGACGAAAGCGGATATACAAAATTCTCTAATGGACTATGATTTGTATTTTCAAGATAGCTATAAGAAGAAGAACTTCTTAAAGTTTTACGGACGAAACAATTTAAAAAAATATTCGCCATAGATAGTATTGCTGAATACCGTTTTTGACCTATCGGACCAACAGCCACACGGCAGACAATAGACGGCGGATGGCAGATAGACCGACGGAATGGGGAAAACATCTTTTTCGTAATCTAGGGACCCGAAAATGTGAAAATCTAAAATTTCACGATTACAATACTTTCCTTTTATTGAGGAAAGTAAAAATAAAATAAGTATACTCATTCTCTTGTATGCTCCTCTACTATATTTAATGTATCAGTGTCCTTAGTTTTTTTTTTGTATGTTGCCGGCTGGCTTTAAAGTCACACTCTATCTCTTGTCCCTACTAAACAGTATAAAGTTTTTATTTGATATAAAAAAAATCTTGTTTTTTCTACTAAAAAAAACATTATATACGCAAAAACATAAAAATTGTAAATGAAAACAAGGTCTGCCTGTACCGAAACAACAATTGTTGCTTCAAAACGTAACGACATGGTGGATGGTAATATAATTATTACCGTAAAATCTAATTAAAAAAATTAAACACAACGAAGATAAAACAGCTTATATTCGTAAACATATCTCTGACCTTCGCAAAACGAAAAACAAAACTCAAATGCAGCAGATAACGGTGTACATTCCAAGTTAATTTCTCTCTAAATGCGCTTTATACGTTCATAAAAAAGAAGAAAATGGAAAAGTCAGCTATTATGACATAGAACAGAAAGGACAATGATATTTTAATTAAATTACTTTTCTTTTTTCTTTTATTCTCGTAAATTAAAATGAACTTAAAATAAAAAACTAAAGCCAATATTTTCAAGTGTTGATCTCGAATCTTTAAA